CACAGATAGGATTAGTAAACTGTCTTTTATTGACACGTAAAATTTCTAAACGACGCAGAGATGTAGAACGTTTAAAAAGATCGTCGAGCCCAAATAATTTATATGTGTGCAGACACAAAGTGGCATAATTGGCGCGGTTTGCAGTGCAAAAGCTACACCGCAGAGAAATATAGAAGCGCAGTGTTTAGAACGTAAAGTCTAGGTTTCCAACCAGTCTGCGTCCAACGAGAAAGCGTCCTTCGACGTCCGGTCATTTGATTACTCGAAATATAAGCAACCGAATGTCGATTCGGATAGAAATGCCTAGTATAAAAAGAAAGGAATATACTTGTGTCATGTCCACGTGATTCCCCCAAAATTGACTTGAGTGGATTGGAAATATACCTCGTCCTTTTATAACTGCAGAGGCCTGCATTTATAAAAGGAGGAACGGGTCGATACTCGGACGTTTTTCTTTACACATCATAAATAGTGCAGTCAACATCATTTCGTGGTAGCTCATGGTAATGTCAGTGTGAAGCTTATTAATGAAATTAGTTTAAAGAAAAATCACTCGAGTAAGTATTTTAATCTTTGTTTTATTATTGTGCATCGTTGTTGTTTTTGACGCTGCGTCAAATCTTTGTTCCATTTGTCGTTCATTTGTAGTTCGTTTGTACCATTCCATACTTCTTTATTCTTCGAATTGTCTTCGTTTTCGCCATCACGTTTCTCTCTCCCATTCACATGGACATCGTACAAGACTAGAAAATGTAATTAAATCATTATCAATAAATTATTACCTTTTTATCTTAATACATACAGTCATATTGATGTTATCTCATTCATCATTACTGCAGTAACCAAAGTAAGACACCGAGGAGACTGGATCTTTCGAGTAGCCTTGTGAATAATATACGCTTATTTCGATTTAGTTTAAGTCAGCAACCGTATAAAAGGTCAGCACGACTACTCATGTTACTCTTTATTATTTACTTGTTTTAATGTAACTCGTCTGGTACCGGCTGGCAATAGCGCAGTAAGTCTGAGCCTGTCGTCTTAAAGATGTCGTCCACGGACAACGCATGATTCCACGATACGCGTAGAATATCGAGATTAGATATTTACATGCTTTGATTTTACACTGGAGTTTCCTCGCACTGACACGCAAATAGAATTTGCGCGACGTACGAAAAACTCGTCTCCTTCAACGCATTATATTACTCTTTCTTTCTCCCCTTTCATCTCTTCATATGACTTTCGTTATGTGTATAGCTGATTAGCGTCCTATAATACGCAGGGCGAACGAAGCAGGTAACCTAACGTTATCCGCCTTCATCACGCCAGCGTGAGTCACCACCACACAGTCGGTAATTAACAGATTTTCGTTTGACTACATGAACGTATCCGTATTCGAACGTAGTCAGATCATTGCAAGTGTTCGTGTTGCAAAAATTTGTGAGTTTATCTACAAAAATTTACATTCACATGAACTCTCTGTGCGAGGTTGGCTGATCATCGTGCTGAGCTACTCTTGTACGTGGGGAGGGTTGTTTCAAATTTCTTCAGAATAACCCTAAAGCAGTGGTAATCTTTAGCTTATTGTTCCAACAGTAACTGAACCGTTTGATTCCCTCCAGGGAACAGCAAAATATCTGTAAATGGTCCAGCTTCTTCTGAAGGGTTTTGTATTCTTTGGGGCTACAGCTTGAGAGGTTTGTTGTTTTCTTCATCTCATTCCTTTGTTTCTCTTCTGTTCGGTATAATTTCATAGTTCGTACACAGTGATTGACTTATTTAGATGACCATAATCTGGAAATTGACACGGTCGTTGCGAGCGTCGATATTACGGGCACCTCGAAGACCACACGAAATGCGCAATTCAGTTTTCAACGGTAAATCTTCGAAGCGGAGCATAACAAGCAGTGGCGATGCTCGAGCCGACCGCGGGAAGAATCGTAGCGGGAAGCCTCGATATGGAGAATAGGCGACTCGAACGTTACGACGATTCTCGCAAAGGCACTCGAGCTCAAGTAGGTTACTACCTGCGTTATCTGTGGTATCTGAACTGTCGGATGAAGCCAATGGTACTGGGACGAAAGCAGGATCGGGACGCAAAACGACTGCCACACACGGCTCGCCTTGCCGATACCCGAATTGCTCCTCTGCGGTGCACCCGGGTTGGACCGTTTGAATTAACTGGGACGGGAATGCCGCATCCCTAGCTGTAGCATTGTACGCGCCGACCAATGCTAGCAAGTCGGAGAGCTGCGCAGCTTGTTCGGCCGACTGCGTGGGATTACGTCGATTAACGATGATCACCTGCGAACGGTCGACAAGATCAGTGGGTGCGGGAACAACAGAGAGCGCTCCGGAGCCTATTCCTGTTGCCATCGCATTGCCGAAGATGTCTTCTGAGAGCAGTGCCGAGGCACCACCCTCAGTGCGCCCGCCGAAAAGGACCAGTATTACAATACAAAGCGCCGTCAGCATCGCGATCAGTACGGACGAACAGTAGACAGCACGCATTAACGTCTGGCGGGATGAAACCGATGAGGGCAGTTTCGAGTACAGGCTGTTGCAACAAAAAAGTATTGAACAAATAATGAATGCCGACCATTAGAAATGATTATTTTTAAGCTTCCTTACTGTAGTCAAAAAGGTACAATCTTTTTGGTAAACAAAATGAATCACATATTTTTACACAAACGTAAAGTGAACGTATCATATATATCTATATTCGGCGGTCAAGAAAATGGAAAAATCGTTCTGCTGATCAGTATACCTTTCTTTCTTATTTGGTGGAATGGCATGATGAATCACTGTTGTTGTCGTCGTTAGCGCTGGGCAATATGGCGAATATGGCGGTGGTGGAGGATTGTTAGCTGGGTTGCATCCATTAGTAAGCTGGCGGGTATCATTTTCTGTCGAAGTAGTAACGTTGGGGTCTCCGCTCATCCTAGAGGCGATTCTAGTCGAGCTGGCCTCCGAGGACGTCTCTTCCAGGTCCTGATAACCATTCGGATGATGTCCTTGAGCATTCAACTGTGGCTGTGCAGTTGCTCCAAATGACTGCTGCTGCTGCTGATGTTGTTGATGTTGCTGCTGCTGCTGTGAGCTAGCCAATGAACTGCGAGATTCACTAAGTGTAGGAGATTCTACCGGGCGACGGAAACGTTCGAGGTCAGGCGGAGCCACTGAAGTATGCTGCGGAACTCGAGCCTGAGAATGCGAAGTCTGCGTTTGTTGTTGAGGGTAGTACGCCGATAAAGGCGGCATTGCTGCTTCATTCGACATCATACTACCGGTGATGGTGGGAATTGCGGTAACTGTCGGACGGGACATGATTGCTGACGAAGGGGTCGCCGATGGTTGGCATGGGCACTAAAAAAAAACCAAATAGGAGAGACTGATTTAGTAACACCGAAAAACAGATTTATATAATAAGGGTCAATAGCAAACGTTGAGACGGCCCTAACATGATGATTATTTAAATTGTTTAGCGATCAAACGGTCTCAGTTATTAATGTTATTAAGATTCTAACGGAGAAGTTCAAGAGGAAAGTTAATTTGGAAAAATAATTTTCGAAAGCAACTTTTTTATGCGATTCTCTAAGTGCTCCTAAGTGTTAAATCCTTTGCAAGAGAGTCTGAAAAACGTTTTGCATAGACAGATGCATTTTTAAAATTAATCGAAAAGATTCACTATAATTGAATTTTCTCCAATTATAGTTTTGCATCTCCAATATTTAATAACTTTCATGTACATAAAAGCCTAATTATATATGCGTCGTAAGCATCTGTAGGAGGAGACACGGCACGAACCGGCTTGAGTCGTACCACTGTGCAGCTTTAGGACGTTTCTCCTGTTGGCAATGAAAGGGCATTCACGTCAACTGCACAGAACATGCCGCGCTTGTGTTCTGCTGTCTGTTTCATAAGGTACACTATAGCTACTCGCGGGCCTTACGCACAGTACATATATATATATAAACAAGTAACTATGTGGCACCGCTTAGCTTTACGATGAAGTCGCTGACCCTGATGGTCAACGGTGTAATCGGTACACACCGACAAAACGTCACGTTGTTTAGAGAGGAGACGACACGAAGCCGGTATTTGCGTTTATATGCAGTGCTTTTATATGGTTACATGGTTTCGTTGATGTCGCGAGAAAACTGCGTCCCGTAGAACCATGCTCCCATCGCTCTGTGAAGTCCAGTTAGAGCCGCTTTGCCTCGGCGACTCACCTAATCGAAGCTCAACCCGAACCAGTTCATTCATGCGGTGCAGACCTTGGTTTACGCCGGCCCCTTGACCCAATGGTCTACTCTGTGCTTACGGTACTGCACCATAATTGCAACAACAGATGCTCGTAGATGGTATGGAAAACAACCACTGTAGGCTCAGCGGCAATAGCTTTTTTACAGGTTGACGCCATAGGATAATAAAATGGGGCGGTATGTAGCCCAGCTATAAACCTGCTTGTCCAGTCTGACAGACACCCGCACACATAGCGATCGGGCTGGCTGTCAATGCGAATATCAGTAGAGTAAATGTGTAGATATTCCAAATCATTGATTCAACAAGCTACGGTACCAGCGGTGGGACGTGCTTCAGACATGCCAATCTATCTATGTTTTATCGACGTTTTATGCCGTTGATTACTTGATGACCTGGTCTTTGTGAACATCCATATTTCGGTGTAGACTGGTTGTATAATTGCATTTTCTGCGGCTTGCACATGCAGTACATTCACCGACCCATAATACTCAATTCTAACGCAGACTTACAGGCGGATTCCGACACGTCACTATGATGCTAAATATCTGGCAACAATGTTTATATCTAAAATTTACGGCGGGTCCACCGGCTTTCCGCTTCCTGACATAATGACGTTCACAACAATGCAGTAAAGAAAGCTAGAAAGGTCCAACGCAGCTAGACCACAACGATAGCAACGGCCACGGGATGTAAATTTGAGTTTGTTCTCTTTTTCAATGTCCGATTATTTTGTCTTTGTCTATATTCACCTCTGTCTATTCACTGTTGAGCGAGAATCAGAATGAACAGCCATGAATACAAGGCTGCGTCAAGTATCCAGCCCCTTTAATCCAATCTTGTGTGATATGCATATATCAACTTAAATTTATGTTCATTAAAAGTTCATCAAAAGAAAAGACTGCAGTGAACGAAGAAGTATGTATCTTCGAGGGATTCAGATAGAAGACAGTCAACTTTTCAAGTTCAGTTGAGTGCCAAAAATCCCAAAAGGAAGTAGGAGATTTAAGACTGGACAAGCGTCTGAGTGCTACACGAAGTTCCATGTTGATACTTTCTTTTTTATATTATCATTTTCTTGAGCAAGTACCAATATTTAGGCCTATCGAAGCGATGTGAGATTTGTACCGATGCATGTTTCACTTAGTAAGCATTTTTTTTTTCAACTCACATCATAAATGCTCTTTCGATCTGTTTGGGGACGTGAAAGACGATCGATAATTATTGTGATGTTTTGGATTTCCAACAAGATACTAACGGCTACTGCTGCATCGAGCAGTAATATCGACTATTACTTCTACATTCGTGGATTCCCACCCAAATGCTGTCACATCTTACTAAAAGTACGTCAAACGAACGAGCCAACAACATGTTTATTCAATAAAACCCACACATGTATGTGCGTTCCTTGGTTTGTCTGCGCCTGTGTGAGCCTTTTCAAAAACACGGCGCATCGACCTACAAAGTCGAGATGATCGTGCAATATATCGGTGAAGTAAGAAAAACATATATGTACCTTGCCAACTCCATTAACTGTACACCTATTCACTAGTTATTCGAGTCCCTCCTGCCGCCCCCGCCAAACCGATTTTGGGCTCACGGTGAACACGATTTGATTGAGTCGAGAAACTGTTGGCAATGAGTACCGAAAGCGTTAGCGGTACTTGTTCACTTGTTTGTGCTTGCTCACCATTGCTTCGTGTCTGTAGGTTTGTTGTATATGGGCAATTCGTGATGGTTTGTTGACGTCGTGGCACCTACATCTGATTCTATTTCTATCTATTTAAGTTTTATTTGATTTCGAAGTGGTGCGGCATGAGCGATGCACAGCAAAAGCAGTAGACAGCCCACAACAACTATCTTGCATGCTTCGTCCCAACGAATGGCCGACCGCACGATTCCATCTCGCCCCTCCTCATCTGTATTGCCTGCTCTTTCTCTCTGGCAACGGTTGGGCTTGCACTACATGATACATCAAGATAGCAAAAATCTATGCCCGTCATGGCACAGCCTGTGTTCCTAGTGTGTCATTTAAAGAGGCGATTGTGATGATAGCAGCAGAGCTTGCTATAGTGCACAAAATGTAAATCGTGCTGATAATCGTCCAGCAAGGATCTACGAAAAATATAAAATCAAGTTGAAAAAACTTATTGCTTTTTTATACCGCTTTTCAATCCAGTTCTATCCGCTAGTTAGCTTTGCGTCTCCTTTCTAGCTATCAGTCCGCTCTATCTGTTTCTCTCGCATTATCCAATAAACAACGATTAGCCAGGCAGCTAAACACGGGCATGCATACATCTCGTACTCAAACAGAACTGAAGCCGTTTTCCCCAAAATTTGTTTTTATTTTATTTGTTAGCAAATCATTATGTCGAAACGCCGAAAGAATCAACGAGGACGAAGAAAAATAAATTTTTCAGAATAGGAAAAATAGATTGCTAGCAATGCAAAAAACGCCGAAGAGCAAAAAAATCGTGTTTATACATGCAAAGCCGATCACTCTCTGGTTCTTTCTCCTTTTGCCGAAAATCACTTTTGCTGCAACCTGTTGTTGTAAATGGAGGATGCCGCCAAAAGCTTAAAGTTTCCTTTCCGTGCGCTTATTTTTCCATCTTTCGGTACCGTTTGCGTTAAAGAGCCACCACGGCCAAGCTTTTATCACACGCAGCAGCGTCTAGTTCCATCACAAGCGACAACAATATTGTTCTTGCCTCTGTCTAAGGAGCCAAAATAATTTATAGAAGAAATAAGCGCCTCTTTCTTCTTCATTGTTCCCTAGTCGGCGCGCTTATTTTCGAGATTTCGAGACTGGAAAATAGGAAAAAGTTTATTTCGTTTTTTATTATCACTATACAAGACGATAGTAGTCAACGGGTGCATGAATGGTCGCGTGTCGGCTGCTACCAGTTTGCACTGGGCTATCTTGGCTACGTTCTTCTAGAGCTAACTATGGCAACTATCGCTTCTACTGTCATGAACGAAATTCAAACAATAGGCAACCAGTTACTGTCAACAAGGTTCGCTTGACCCATATAGCAAAAATTTATAACTAACAATGTTCAACATCGAATACACTCCCAGAAACCTAGTATTGAGCTAGTGACGAATGATTGTTTGGTATTCACAACAGCTTTATTTGCCTTCAATATCTCTCATTTCCTATTACTAAACATAAATTGCTTTAATGACCGTAATATAAAAATGTGGATTAACTACTGTCATTCATCTAAGGGGGTACTTATTAAAACGGGATACGTCGCCCAATCTTCGAGTGATGTTTTCGAGGTGGGTCATACCAGTTATTGCTTGTCTCACGGTAGACACATCCAAAAACGTTCCTGAGAGAAAGAGTGCGTGAGGAAGACTTTTTGAAACTTGGGAATTCGTTCAGGGCTGACCGTTCTCGCCCGTCATTGTCGTCCCATACGAATGAACGAGGTTCAGCGCGACTTTATTCTCATTTGATATCAGACCACAGCGTAGGCAGAGCGACAACGAAAGAAAGAGCCAACATTGACAACACCCAAGAGGGTTTCCTAGTGCGCCTGTTCTTTGATTTCGCTGTTCTGCTGAGCGACCGTCGCTCTGCAGATGAATAACATCGTAGTATGTACCACCGTATTGCAACTGATTTTTTTGCCAAAGCATTTGAGAGTGTAATTTTTGTATTGGTGGACGACTACGCTGGGCTGAGCACAGACGACGACAACAACAACCACAACACCTTTAACCCGGCAGTAGCGCAATTGCGCCCTTGTCGGCGAGTTTCATCAGCAACGAATACACACACAGGGACACAGTTATCTATTATATAATACTATACACTCTGTCTGGTGGTACACACCAAGTGCGATAGTGGGGGAGACGTCTCATTTAGACGATATTCATTGCTGAGGTCCAGAAAAAGCTTCGTGTTCATCTGCTGCCTGATCTTAGCCTCAAGGCCGATTGTATTGTAGTGTCAGTAGTGACAGTAACCGCGCCGTCCATATCAGTATATGTATAAAATCTTCTTTGGTTTGGTTCATTCTGCCGTATTCATAGTTGTTGTAACACGACCATCACCTTCGGTATAGCCTAGACGATTTGTAGGAAACGATCTG